CTATACTCATAAATTACTCAGTAATTAAAAAAAACGCAAAATATATATATTATATATATATCAGTTATATACCTTAATTAATATACACCTTGTTTAGTGCATGTTTTTTGTACATTTGAGGTTTCTCTTTTTCTACCTCAATTCTTAAGCTTTTATCGTTGTAATGCCCAATTAATATTAAGTACTCATGCAGTTTAGGACATCAGAGTATACCCAATCCAATATTTTTATCAGTGCCCTCTACATTCTAATACTGCCCCCATACGCAATGTCATTAGCAAGTTTCTTGAGGATGCTGTGTAGGCCTAGTTTCTTATTTTCTAGGGATTGACTATACACGATAACACCGTATTACAAACACGACTTACTATACCCCGTTTCATTTCAAATGCAGACGCAGCCGACGCTACGAGCTGATAAGACAAGTCAGAAAACGCCCGAAACGCGCCATCGTGGTGTTTGTCATGTTTCTTTCCATGTTGTATTGTCCCTGAAGCAAACATGTAAAAAAAAAAAAAAAATCTCTAATGATTTTGCGCTTTCCACGCTGCATGATTGTTCGCATTACCCCGTAGCGTCGGCTGTATCGGGAGTTACGTTGAAACGAAGTCTAGGGCCACATAAACCGTCTAGGGATCATTCAGCTCACACGCACTGTTTAAACGAAAAAGGTAACACCCATTTTGTAAAAAGAACTCGATTGGCTGGTTTGATAAAATCTTTTTGGAAAAAAATATACCTAGCTGGGCTTTACCAATTGCTCATTTGGTCAAATCAAATTGGGGGTTTTACGTGCCAAACCAACGTTGGGCATCTGGCAGGCCCCCAGCGGAGGACTCAGGAGAAATTTGGACCACCTGGGGATCTTTTGGACGTGCAAGCGCAAGCTCAGTTACACGGCGCCTCCTCCGCAATCAGCCTCCGTCAGATTGCGGTCACCTCGGCCGGGATTCGAACCCGCCACATGGGCATACCTAGGCCAGCGCTCTCGCCTCGGAGCCACCGAGGCGGCATGTTCATTTGGTAACAATGTACAGTTGCATGCACTCCCTTGACGAAAATGAAATGAATGCTTGTCGTTAAACACGTTTGTGGGGATTGCGGTAGCACATTAGTTATGCGGTGTTTCTTGTTACTCTAATGATATTCTCCGAGAACCTATCTGATAGCATGTTCATGTATTTTTCAAGTATCGGAGTTGCCTTTCCACGACTCTCATATGGTGATAATTCCGCTGTATTGTATGCACATAAGAAGTTTCTATACCTTATAGGTAGGGTTCCGTATTTACGGCAAGGTGCGATCGACCGTGATAAAGAATCCCCGAAGTGGTCCTCTCAAAATTAAGGAAGACAAAACAAAACAAAAAACTTCGATATGGTGCTTTTTTTTTAATAGGAAAATCCCCGGGTTTAGGAAAATACATTTTATCTACAGCATTCCTTTCTTGTGAACCGAAACTCAACCCGCACTGTCCTTGAGTTTTGTCTTTTTGCTTGAAGAATCGCCTCCCTTGCCCCCTCTCCGTTCTCGGTGCCGAGATGAAGTTTCTTGAGTATTTTGGTCAGGGGCGTAAGTTTCATGGACCCTGGATGAGAAGAGGGTACGAAAAAGGGGGGGGGGGGGGGGGTATTTGGCGTCAGAAATTTATGTATATACAGATGTATTATAACATTGGCCCCGATAAACCCCAATACATGGCCTGGTATTGAAAATAAAGACCGAAAAACACCGATTCGCACAAATAATAAACCCCGAAAGAACACGGCACCTTATTTAAGGGAAACATAGGTTATGTAATTGTTAAACAACATTAAGCACAAAGTGCTTTCATACTGCACATGAATTATCCTAGTAACGTGAGCCATTTTAAATTTTCGCCAACCCTATTTGATCTCTAAAGCATTAATAAAAGTTGTCCTAAATGGCTCCTTGAACCCCTGTGTTAAGTTCAATTAGAAGTAATAAATCACCAATATGTAGAATGTTTTCGACAGGTGTAAAAATAATGCCAGAGCAATTTGGTAACAAGGCTTCGGTTAATGCAACCCGGGGAAGCTTTTTTACTTTTATCTGTGAAAACCGTACTGGTTGTTGCTGTACTTGTCATACTTTTGTGACGAGCATGGTGTACAGCGGTAATTGGCGAAACAATATCATGGAGACTATTCGTATTTATTTGGACCGATATGTTTATGATATACTAAATTACTTGTAATATATTGTTAGAGAACTTCCAAAGTTCATTTTACTTCCACCCTTACATAAGGGCCTAATTACTGAAACTTCTAAATTTATAGGAGTTCTCTCAGTGGTAATATAATCTTTGGATTTTTTAAGGTACACAATGAATACAAATTCTTGTAATAATTTAAAAAAAATATTGAGTTGACTATGCCTACTTGGTCGTTTTCACATGTTAGTGGGAAGTTTGTCAAGATTTCGCAACTACACATGGGAACATCTTTCTTTCAGTCTATTCATTACGATGGGCCTACTGTACAGATTACACCACACACAAACTCAAACACATCATTCACACTGCTGGTAAACGTACCATTCAGATCAGCAGTGTGAAGGGTGTGTTTTTTTGTGTGTGATGTAATTCTTGTTCAGCTGGACCATCGTAAGCAATGAACCAACTAGCTCAGCTTAAATCCGTTTCAATCTATTGTTTTTTGTTTTTTTTTTTTTGCGCCCTTTATAAAGTAACTGTTAAAGGGGCGCTGACAGGATATTTATGCTCACCGAACTTTTTATTTGTGCATGACATACAAGAGCCCAACTACCCAGAAAACATTTCGCAGTTTAAAATTCATTTTCTTCCCGCCCGAAAACCGCGAAACTAGAGCTGCTCGCTCACTTTCTTCTCCGTGGTCACATGCAGTTTTCTGTGGTTTAGACACCACAACCGAATATAATCGAAGTCGGAACGAAGGCACAAAGACAATATTAAAGGTAGAAAATAAACACGATACTAATTTTTTGTGGCTTCTAGAAAGTAAAAATCCGTTGATTGGAAAACAAATATTTTTCGCCACCACGTGACTTCCGCCAACTCTCTCCTCCACTATATTTCTTTTTCCTCCCCAGTCCTGTTTCCGTTTCGAGCAGTTTGCGTGTTTTGACTTTATTTAAAATGCACGTGACTCTGTAGCAAAATATTGACCGGGTAGTCTTTTGATGCCATAATAATCGCCTGTCAAAAATATAAATAAAAATTGGGGGGTGTCAGTGTCCGTTTAAAGTAACCTGCTATTTTCGTGTAGTTATGAATATTGGAAAACTGCTTTTAGGGGCGAAGCTCCTTAGGGTCTAGCCTTGTCGATTCGTCCGGCGTCCTTGCTTGCATCGATTGCACTGCCCCCGAAATCGGCCCACTCTTTAAAAAAACAACGTACGCCGGCACGGGGGTTTGAACTGAGGACCTCTTCCATACGAGGCAGACATCTTAACCACTACGTTACACTCTAACGTTGCATGTAGACGCTCAACGTCTATACAGGAGAAAGCGCTGCGGTTAAACGCGTATATAATCACGTTAAACTTTGCATGCATTGGCTCAACGTTTATAGACGAGAGGGCGCTGCGGTCAAATGCTCAACAGAGTATATAACCGCGATCCATACCACACATTCTCTCTCTGACATGGACCGTTGACTTAAGCGGTGGAGATGCTTTCCCATGGCTTCTAGCGGATTCGAGCTGATCCGCTAGAAGAACCACTGGCTCTGCATTTCACCGACCATAAAGCAGTAATAATAAAGTCGAAACGCAACCCGGAACTCAGCACTACCTATGAGCAATAAAAAAAAATTTGCACCATCACCACTACCTATGAACAAGAAAATCAGTATCATCGACACCATCAGAGCTTGCCCCAATCAACATCATTCACCACGTGGAGATGCGGCCTCTTTTTTTTTTATTGTATCGTCAGTGCTACGTTTGCCTCCATGACTGTTAAGTGGCAGAGAGATAGCAGGCTTCCATCGAGTCTTTTTACTGACATGCATTGCTTTAGTTTTGCCGAGTATTATTTTATTCATTTTGAAACCCATAACTCATACACAGTATAATTTTAACACGTCAAACGTTGTTGATATGACTCAAGTTGATGTTCTCTCGAAAGCTGTTTATTATGAGGCAACACTTGACGGGTTTTCAGTTTCAGGTATTTTTTAAGGTAGCGCTTCAATTGTCCTGGACAGCATTGGTACTTTGACAAGCTAGTGAGCTTTTAATGTGAGGTGTCATAATTTTATTTTTGCTTGTGGAGTAATATATTTTTGTCTCCGCATATATTCTCGCAAAGCTGCATTTCATGTACATAATTTTGAAATAGGTACACTCCTCCGTTTGAATATGGGCTGCTTATGGATACCTAACGAATTAGATAAATAAAGAGATTCTGAATTTAGTAAACATATTGTATCTCGAAGATAATTCCTAAATTATTGTCTCCATTCAATAATGTCCGCCTCGGATCCTTCTGATCTCTTTATTTTAGGTTTGGAAGCAATTCGTTTAACTTCTCTGCTGCCTATAAACCGACAGCACTGACCAGTGCTGTTGATGATGGTCTCCTCTGGTTCTGGAGATGTGCCGGAATCAAATACCATAACAGTCGGAGTCTTTCTAGCCGCACGCCAGTGCACTAGATGGAGCTAGTTTCACTTGATTTAGTGAGAGTCTGGATTGTAGAGAAGAATCATCTCAGTCTATTGCGGGCTTTTGCAATTTAATGACGGACCTCTCCCATGGAAATTAGTCGGAAGTGTGCTTTCGCTTCGCTTTGGCGTAGCGAGAAGGTAAGCAAGCAGAAGGGTGAAGACGTTTGCAGCCAATCAACGCTTTCCCCACTTCCTTGCAGTTCGTATGGCAAACGCGGCTCGCATACCACGTGATTCTGATCGAGCAGTTGGAAGCACTTTGTGATTTAGACACACTGGATTTAGTGCGACGCATACATTTGTAATCTCTGTCACAATTCCGTCCAGGTTTAGATCCAGCCAGCAAAGATTTTGAAGGCGAGCATCTGGACACGGACGATGCCGACTTCGTGGACATCATTCACACCAGCAACGGCATTCTTCAACTTGGAATGCGCGAGCCTATCGGCCATGTCGACTTCTATCCCGATGGAGGAGGTCGCCAATCGGGATGCTATATCCCTGGTGCGTGGAAATTGTCGAATGTCAAGAACTTTTTTTCGAACCCTGGGTTCAATTTAGTTCGGCGAAAATTCGCGCATTTATCAAACTGAGACTGTATACGAAGGAATGGATGGATGTTAACGACTCTAACCTTTATAGCGGCGGTCACTTGCGCCACCTAGCCAAAACTAGCCGAGGTTTAACTTACGAAGAGTGCTGTCCGACATTTCACAGAAAAAAATCAAAATTTTTGGCGCAAACTGTGATGCAGTTTATTTTATATTTCATAAAATTACTGCCGATGTCTACGCATTATAAAGATCAACAAATACACTCATAATGCTTTAGTTCGTTTATTGACGTGAACCAGTGAAATATATATCTGAGTTCGCCATGTGGAGTCAGTTTGTTAGAAATTTTCGCGCGCGCGGATAACAATTAGGCCTGAGTCAAAGCTTGTTCAACGTCGCATAGAAGCTAAAAAAACAACAAGAAAAAAAGTCTAACCAGGTTATACCGTAATTTCGGCGGATTCTCAACATCTTTCCACTTCGTTTCACGTTAACGTCGATCGCAGTGAAAGCCACGATCGGACAGAGTCAACCAGGCAGCCCAAAAAGTCCATTGTCATGGAGCTCGTTGTCTATATAGGTTGGCTATGAGCGGCTACTACAATCAAGCACAGTCAATGCGGCTTGATCCGGCGCTTTGTTCTTTTTGTAAGTAATTGGCTTAACATCGAAAGCAGCCGGACAAAAAAGGCGAGTGTTGTGACAACGAACTTTTGGCGCTGATATATTGGCTCTATCTGATCATAGCGTTGAATCCGGTCGAACTTAATTTGAAACGAAAGGTAATATCAACAGTAACACTAACCTCCTCCAAACATCCGAGGCTTCGTCTCACACTTTATAAATGACCAGTGCAATTCGCGCAGAAAGCTTGCAGCATCCCTAGCCGAGAAACACGGAAAACGTTTTCACCCAACTCTAGTCTTTGATGTAATGCTGAAAGCAAAATGCACACGTGAAGCGCAACGAACAGTGTCAGATAAAAGCCGTTTATTCCGCAAGGTTTCATCACAGAAAGTGTTTTATCAGCCGAATTTGGCTAGAATAGCCGTCACGAGTAGCTGTTGCGTCCATTTCCTCGCTGAATGTATTCGTGAAATTAACTCCGAGTCACTACGTCATGCGACCTCGTGTCAGGTGATGTCAATAGGCCCACTAAATTTAGAAGGCAAATTGACGACGTGACAACGTCGTGTTACATCAAGTCTCGTGACATCGATTTCAGCGACGTAGTTTCTGCGAGGTGATAGTCTATAATTAGCACACTTCGACAACTGCCCGCTTCTCTATACAGGGTTCCAAGTACGAGCTCCGGGCGCCGCCATCTTGCTCGCGTGGGGTGCGCTTGGGCGCCGCCATAATTCGATTACGACGCCTTACTAAGGTCGGTGCCCCAGCAGCAAGATGGCGGCGCCCAGAGTTTGTACTTGCAAACGCGAATACTTGTGTACACTTCAGGAACCGTAGTCAAAACCGGCTCTTCACAGAGGGTAACTATTTTCCACCTTCATACGTTTAATTAAGGTATATATAGGTACATCTTAAATTAACTTCATGTTATTTCATGAAAGCGCACACAATTCAAACGCCAAAAGCATTTTCTTCCTTCGACAACCAAATTCTGTAAGGACTACTTCGCGCAATGAGCAAGTCGCCAAACATGCTGTTTTCCACGTGGTATAACCAGTGCGGCCTGAAAAAAGCTTGGAATATACAAATATTTTTATTAACGCACTCTGTAATTCACAATTATTTTTTATGTCTGATCAGAATGATTGACATGTAAAACTTACAGACGTTTATGCTTCTCTGTAATGCGAAATTAGAGCGTAGCTTTTGAGGTATTTTGATTTTGCTATGCACCGTGATAAAGAATCTGAGAGAGAAATATGCTGTATATAATTTTGGTCGTGTTTCCTTTTTCTTTGGAGGTAGGCCAGACAGGGCTAGCAAAGTACATTGGGTACCCATAATGCAGCACGCACACTATTGCTTTAGGGGACATCACAGACGTACGCACCAATTCAGTTTCTCCGCTAAATTTAGCGACGATGGTGAATTGATGTAAATATCTGTGTCGCCCATCACGCAACGCACGCTGTGTTGCATTATAGAAAACGTAAGCGTCCGTTCCCGTATATAGCGGTTACACTGACGGCGGCGCCGAGGCCAAGGTATGCGGAAACGGGCGCCGAAGAGCTGCGCTCTAAAGAACAAATCCTTGTATAGTCAGCAGCAGTAGGTCATCCGCAACCCCGTAAAATTCAAAAATTTCTACATGTATTGTCCGCGAGTTACAATCCAGCAGATAGGGTACATCTTATGTTCATTAATGTGCAATCAAAGGCTTTCGCACTTTTTAAATACCGGGTGTTTTTTAGCCAAGAGAAGCGTGTTCATCGGCAAGCGTGAATAAACTACGCATAGCGGGAAGCTGAAACTCCCTGAGGATGTGACGCTAGCTCTAGGAATTGGATGCGAAAGTTTAAGAACTCTTGTTACCTGGATGAAACATATGTGCCATTTTTATGTGGGCCGACGTTCCACCTAGGCCTAATAGCGTTAAAACAAGAAGAGAAGAGCGGCGTCAGCGTCTGGCGTCTGAAAACACAAAGTATCGCTACACGTTTGTGGTGGAAGAACGTTTCACGTATACAACACAATAGCCTGGCATTTCGCCGTAATTTCTTCACACTTCATAAATGCCACGTGCGTGCATAAAGTTTTTGTTTTAACGATATTAGGCTTAGGTGAAAACTGGCTCATAAAAATATTTTGGGCCCCTTTGATCTCATTAACCTAATGGTTTCAAACTTTCGCATTCTCTATTTCTATTCTCTCATTCTCAGATTTACAGCTTCGTGCGATAAGTCGCTCGTTCACGCCGGCCAAAAAAAAAAGAACAACAAAAAAACGAGAAAAAAAAAGGTTTTTGTTTTGAAGAATACACGATATGAGTGTTGCAATAATAAAAAAAAAGCTCCAGTTGTTTTTTTACTTTTTCTTTTTTTAGGTTGCTCTCACAAGAGGGCCAAGATCTACTACCTCAACTCCATCGATTATTGCCCCTACCCATCTCGATGCTGTCCTAGTGGCGCCTACATTTCCTGGCTCAAGATGAAGTGTGATCGTTGGGTACCTTCCTGCGGAAGAATGGGCCATCACGCAAGCAGTGATCTACGCGGAGTGCACTATTTGGAAATTGATTCGGACTCCCCGTATTGTGGTTCGTAGAGCCATAGAGCCTCTTGTATCGAAAGTGGGGGCCCTGCGCTTTCGGAGCCAGAACAATAAACAGTCGGGTTACGGTAAAAAAGAGATGAGTAGCGGTAATCCATGAACGCAAGCATCTGGATTGCAGCATCACACTGGTGTCGTAGGGCAAGCTACTCCACTCGTTGTTTTGTATTTTGCGGTGAAGGAAAAAAAATAGAGACTGCAACCGGCTGCTTACCCTTTTTTTTTTTTTTACTGAGGGTAAGATGATGCGCTGAGTGAATGGGAAAATAGGATTAGTCGTGAGTTTAGATAAACTGGGGAAAAAAAGCGTACGTTCAGAAAAAATAAATAAAATAAAAGCCGTTTACAACTCCCTGTAACGCCGAATTGGAGCGCAGCTCTTGAGCAGGAAGAGGGAAGGGTACTGAGGGGTCACGTGACCTGGGGGGTCACGTGACCTTACCGTTGCGCCGACGGCGACGCCGCTCAAGCCGGAAAGGGGCGCCTAAGAGTTGCGGTCTAAAACAATGAAAAACAGATGGGAAAGTTCTGGAAAGTGCCCACGTGTCTCTGAGGGCGCCAGCAGTCTTATATCCTTTTTCTACTATGTTTTCTAGTTCTGTTTCTGCCAGTTATGGCGGCGGTTCTGGTCTCCAAGGCGCGGGCTTTTACCCTATAGGAGGCCCTGACAGAGCAGCGTTGCAGTCTCTAATTACTTAAACATTTAGCGAGTACTTTTCAATGCTAGGCTGGTACGTTGCGCCACATTATATTTTGTATGATCAGCGAAAATTGTAATCATTTTTATGTGTGTATAGACAGTCATAGGTTAGTCAGATCCGTTGGGCGTCTGGTGTTTCAGTTGTAGATGAGAAACCTATCCACCGCAGAACGAGTGCTGGCCTTTAGGTTTTTAACGTGAGCAGTAGCGATACACTATCACACGCCGGTACGATGCTCATCTAGATAAAAAGGGACAGGGGCGGTGATTGAACCCAAGATACCTTGGTTCTTTTCGGCATCACGAGCTTTCGCTCCAGGTGTTCCAAGCTGCTGTGCGCTATCCTACCCGGTGAACTATTTTTGTTTCTTTATTGCTGGCCACCGACCATCCCCTTGCCGTAGCGACGTGATAACTTTAATGCAAAAATACATTTTTATTCAAGTGAGATTTGGCGAGCGAACGTTGTGCCCCTTGGCCTAGCACCAGTGGGAGCTAGAAGTAACATATTTTTGGCGGGCCTAGTTGGTTCATGTATCGAAAAATACATAAGCAGCAGTAATCAGCTCGCGATGATAAATGGAGAGATTAAGCATGACGATCCAAAAAGTTATTTCTTTCTCCAATAATGAAACTGATTGCAGGCTTATGCAATCGTGACCTTTCTTTTTAACGAAGTAAGCATTAACGGGTTTTCTTTCGCTAACTTTCTGTGCTTTTGCAAGAACGCGTGTCTTTGGCAAATCAGGGTAGCTACTGCACTTATTACAATGCAGTGGCAGATGGCCGCCTAATTTTTTTTTTTTTTTTTTTATGGACAAAAAGTGTTTCCGTTCCCTCAGGTTGAAACATCGCCCAGTCTCGCAAAAAATACATTCTCCCGCAAGAAAGCGGTACTTGATAAATATCACCTGAAGCGCACTCCGTGTATCGATTGCTGTGCCCCTTTTTGCATTCTGGTCTGCTCGCTTTTGGCTTCATCACAGGGCACACTTTATTGAGTGTACAAGGCGCCCGAAAAGGCGAGCTAGACACTGTATCTGGCCGCCACTTTTTTTTTTAGGTTTGGGGCAGGCCATGATGACACAAAATTGCTTGTACAAGCAATTTTTCTTTGCGCCTCTGCTCTTTGGAACCGGTTTCTAGCCCCTGTAGAAGGAGCTCACACACAGCAGAAACTAAGTGTTGGGAGTACCCTGCAGCAGCAAGGCGCTCGCACTGACCGCGGAAACGGGCCGCCATTTTATGTACACAGGTTTTTCTAAGGCTGGGGTACAGCTAATCATAATGATGGCTCTCTTAACAAGCTTTGAGTAGGCACTGTCCTAGGGCAACAGACCATTTTTAGTCCTGGGATGGTATGACCAGCAGATGTGGTGGTCAGTCAACGTTAGTTTTAGGTTTAAAAACTGGAGGGTACTTTTTACGGCCACTTAATGGGTACAATTAAGGCCATCGGATGCTGAAATGAAGATGGATAGAATGCTCAAAACAGTATTGGCAATAAAATAGGAACCCGAGACATTTCCCATATCATCCCCGATATCTAAAAACGCGAAGTGCATGCTGATCGCAAAGGCGTTGTAAGCGCCTGTCGAAAAAAGACAGATCTATATCACGAAGCACGGGGCCAACCGCGTTCCCAATACAAATGCCGGTCTTTTGAACATGGAAACTCTCCACGTGCGAAATCACGGTAGAATTCAAGTAAAATCGCAGCAATTCAAGAAAACTTTCGGTGCCGGCACCAGTTGCATTCAGGAAACTAATTTCACCGAACTCCTCGATGCTCTTTTTGAAGCCAGTGAACAAGCCCTCGTTTGGCATGAAATAAAAAAAAAATGATCCTCAATGTCCACCGAGAAAGCAGTCCTTGCAGGCAGGAAACCACACTCTAACTCGCGAACCACCTCACTGGAACTTCGAACCACCTTACTGGAACTTCCAACAAGGGACTTCCAACCAGTGCCCCCTCAAAGCTTGTTAAGATCTCCATCATTATGCCTAGCTCTACCTCAGCGTAAAAAAGTTCCCGTTCCCATAAAATGGCGACCAGTTTCAGAGGCCAGTGTGACAGCGTTACTGCTGCAGAGTAGGTCTTTGCTGTAGGTCTCAGCAGCAGAGACACTAGTTCTCTGCTGAATGTGAGCGCCTTCTACAGAGGCTAAAAAGAGGTTCCAAAGAGACGAGCAAAATAAAAAAATGCATGGGTGCGTAATTCCGTACCATCGGGGCCTGTTCCTTAACTTTAAAAAAATTGGCGACGAGATACGGTGTTTCGCTCGTCTTTTCAGCGCCCTGTAAGCTAAGTAAAATGTGCCCTTTGATGAAGACAAAAACGAGCACACAAGAATGCAAAAATGAGCACAGCAATCATTACACGGAATGCGCTTCAGGTGTTATTTATGAAATACCGCTTTTTGCGGGAGACTATATTGGCGAGACTATTTGATGTTTGCACCTGAAGGCCCGGGAACACTTTTTGTCGATAAAGAACAACTCAGACGGCATCTGCCACTGCATTGCAATAAGTGAGGTTGCTACCCTGATTTTTAAAAAAACACTCGTCTTAACAAAAAAAAAAAAAAAAAATTACGGCCTAAAACGAAAAAAACAAACAAAAAGGTCACGATTGGACAAGCATGGAATCAGTTTGACTATCAGAGAAAGAAAACGTGTTTGGATGGATGTGTTTCATCTCTCCTTTTATTTTCGCCAGCTGATTACTGCTACTTATACTGCTGTGCTTTGCGCCAAATAAATAGTTGGAGATTGCGCTCCGTGTGTCGTAGCTGTTTCTGCCTCTGTCCTTGTCATTAGTGCATTTTTTTTTTATTTTCCTAGAAGCTAGTAGAGTTGACTAAATTGGCTGGTTGACGAATTCTTCCGCCGCGAACCACCTGCCCGTGCTTATAAACGTCACATGTTGACGTTCCCTCGTCTAAGTCAGTGGATTCTTTATATCGTCGCAACAGCAAGATAGAAAGGGCATCGTGGCGGCGTTTCAAAAAGATGCGGTGGCCCCTGCTATAAAGATGGACCCTGAACTTGAACGTCGGCTATTGTTCCCAATAAAATACTGCCTATTGCTGATTGATCAACGAATTGAGATACCGCTGCTTATTGTTTTTGAAGTCAATAAACGTCATACAGTTTATTCTTGCCTTGCGTGGCTGTTTGTTTGTTGCATGGCTGTTTGTTTGTCACAGGGTTACACAGTGGGTGGTAATGAAATTCGACTATGCCGACAGTGGTGGGCACTATAAGTTAGAAAGTTATAACAGACGCTTGCGTATAGAGGTTCACCTCACCACAATTTTCATCAGCAGTCAATCGAAGCGCCATCTTTCTTGCACCTTGCGGCTGCTGTCTAAACAGCGGTTGTGGAGACTCGCCGCAGCGTGCTAAAAGGTTTGCTTTCAAATCAGCTTGTGACGAAACGAGGCGAGCAGTGTACATCTGCCTATATAAAAAAAATCGGCAAAGAATGATGGATGCTGCACAAGTGGCTCAGATAATGTCAGGCACCACGACAGTGAAAATATAGTTGTTGTGTAAATTTAGAAATTAAAGGGCACTTTACTTGCATATACAGGTTGTTTCACGAAAGGTGGACAACTTCGATATTGCGAAAACTACGCGTCGCAACAAACAAAAGCTTATGTCGTTTTGGTCCTAGGCCAGGGGCCTGTTTAAGAAAATTATTAAAGTTCGGGATAATTAGATTGTTAATTATTTTTGCGTAACTAACTTTTTTATATTGTGTTTAAGGGCATGGTTTCAATTAGAAAATTGCTGAGCATCATCAAAATACACTATATCAACAAATTGCAGAAGAATAGAAGGCACGCGAAGCATTTTACGGCTTTCTGAAAAACCGCACAAATTCGACGGGTTTTTAAGTTTCGGTTTGCTATCGGAGCGCATCTCGGCCGCAACGGCACCGCGCCCCGTGGAGGTATAGTGCAACCAACCTCTGCTGCTCCGTCATCGCGGGACGCAGCAGAGGCTGGTCGCACTATTTCTCCACGGGGCGCGGTGCCGCCGGGGCCGAGATGCGCTCCGTCAGTCGCGATCGGTCGAGCGGTCGAGCTGAAGGCGCTTTGCGCCTCTGGCTTTGACCAGTATGATCGGGAAAAGACATCAATTCACTTCGTTTAAATGCATTTTCTTTAAAACGTCGCAGGCGAATATAAGGGACAACATATATATAAACCACTCACGGGCACATCGGCACACTAGTTTGTGGAGAGACCCCGGAAAATAGATACACTCGCGAGATTTCTCCAAATGA